TAAATATTAAAGAGATACAAAGTGGAGAAAAAACATGTCTATATTCTTACATTAGGTCTGTTTATTATTTAGTTTATTTCTTTAATAACCTTTAGTCAGGCAGTCTCATTGAGATTAAGACCTGAGAACCAGAGCTAATTTATAGATGTTTAATAATTAAGTGTACTTTCACCAGAGCTTCAAAATCTTGTTGGTTTTATTTTTGTCTACAAAAAACGACGTAACAATGTTGAATATAAAAATGGTTAAGTTTGAGTTTTCTCGTTAAAAAATGTATTAATTCATCATCAAAGGTTTTCACACATCAATCATTGTTTTAATATTAAAGTTGTACAGGACAAACCTAAAAAAAGACTACCTTTCAACATAAATGCAACAAAAGACATGTACGTTTATGAAAATGGAGACGATATGTGCTGAGCTGAATGTCAGAGTCCTCCATGCTCTCACTGTTAACAGCTCCCTCTGAAGTAATGAGATCTGTAGCGGCACGTCTGTGGACCTTCAGCCGGAGAAAAGGTTAATGTGTCTGTTCTGCGCTCATTAAGAGGCCGGACCATACATCTCTGTCAGCGGGAAATGTGAGGCACAAAATACAAGAGTACAGAAGAGCAGGGTTGTTAAAGTCGAACTAGATGTTCTCTCAGTGGATTGACTCAGATCTTCTACTTTAGAGTATGACAATCATACAAATGTAAATGTAAAAGTACAGTATATGACGTATTCCCTATGCAGAAAGGCCCTTTTCACAGTGATGTATGTAACTGGATCATAGCTTCACTTTAATGCTTCGGAGGGAAAGGGTTGGGTTCATTACATATAGGCCTAGCTTGTGAATTTCAAAGAATGGGTTCCTGGAAGGACAGGTTCAAGGTTCAAGGTTCAAGGTTCAAGGTTCTTTATTTGTCATACGAACATAGCTACAGAGTAGTTATGTCGATCGATGAACATCTTAGGTCACAGGATTCTCCAACAGTGCAACACAATAATACAGATACACAGAAAAATATAGTGCAAGTAAATATTGAAAAGTAAATACAAAAGGAAAAATAGTGATATCACCTGCAGATATACGTACATGTATTTAATGATCTGCACTCACTATCTGTCTATAACTCAGCTTCTTAGTGTTTTACATGATGTTATTGAAGTTATTCATATTGTTTCTCCACTTTAAATTATAATACACTTTAGTTTGTCATATATTCATTGTCTTAAGTCTTTTTCGCTTTTTCGGCTATTTTGTTTATTGGTGGAAATACTACTATTTGTAATGCTAAATAGTTTCTTAAAATACTTTCTTTTTATCATCGTTACTCTTAGAACTTAATTCTCATATTGTTAATGTTTGCACCGCCATACACCAAAGCTAATTCCTTGTATGTGTGAACGTAGCTGGCAGTAAACTTGATTCTGATTTCTTACATGTACTCTTGTTTGTATTCTTACAGTACGTGTGTGAACTTCCACCTGTTCTGTCCTGTTTCCACTCTGTTGCCTACACGGAGCAACACAGGCCTTCTTTAACCTTAAAGCATCAGCTAATTAACATGTCATAGATTTAATTAAAATGAAGATATACACTCCGGGCCTGATCGTGGACCCTCCCCTGGACGCGTCACAGGGTCCATTTTTACCCCTCTCAGTCACATTGTTGCCATCCGTCTTTCTGCTTCTGCCAACCCGCTTTCACACACAACTTCTGTTGCCTTGGAGACGTCTCCCACCCTGACACATGGACCCCCCCCCCTCTCTCTCTCTCCTCTGACTCCTCTCACATCTCCTCACCTCTCCGGTCTGTTACAGTTCACACAGTTCAGCCTTTCCTCGAGACGTCCAGGTCACAGAGGTCGCTGATCAAACTGAAAATCTGCTGCAAGGGGGCGGGGACACTCATTTATAATGACGTTTTCTGAAATGTTATGTTCAAATATGTAAATACCTTATTAAAGAGGCCCTATTATGCAAATGTTCCAGGTCATATTAGTATTTAATGCTTCTACTGTGACATGTCTCCATGCTTTAATGTTCCACCTCTTTTCACCCTCTGTCTGAAACCATGCAGAGCCCAGTCTGCTCTGATTGGTTAGCTGGCGAGCTCTGTTGTGATTGGTTAGCTGCTTAGAGATGTCTTGCACCCTTGGCCTATCACTTACAATGTGTTGGAGCAATAGCCAATAGAAGCGCACGTGTTACATCGTGACGCCAGTATGTTTATTTAATTATCGTAACTCATATCTTAATATATGTAACATCAGCTACTCATTGTTTTACCTCATGCTATTGATGGCATTCTTATTCATACCGTCGCCTACTTGTTTACTCTTATTTATTATCCCTGTGTTTCACTCTCATTCACTCGCCTCCCCTGAATGTCCCTACAGAGATCAATAAAGGTCTATCTCATCTTATCTTAAAACTTGTCGCAGTGTAAGATCTGGCTGTGATAGTCTGCTTGTTGCCCTGCAGTTGAAACAGTTTTCACTGTATGTGAGACACCACATGTAGAGAAGCAATGCTGCAAAACACCAGGAGGATATGCGTGTGTCTTTTGTCTCATTCTGCTCCGCTGAACTGGCATTTGAATTGGAGTCATGCAGGGCAAAATGTCAGATCTGAATCACATGGAAATACATTTTATAGACTCGCTGTATCTCAGCAGGGGGGCACGGTGCATGACCTGAGAGCCGGAGTTGCAGGAAGTCATATCAGATTTTTAATTTAAGTGAAAGGCGCTTTACCGCACTGTAAATACTCTGTTAGAAGTAGATGTCATGCATTTAAATTCATGCTAACGTACCAAAATGTGGGTTCATCACTTAAAAGAGGCCCTATGCTTTCCTGTGTTATTTAGGTTTGTGTGCATGTAAATGGTCTGCAAAGGTTAAAATCCCAAAGTGCAAAGTACAACATTTAATGAACCTGACATTTTACATAATAGGGACCCTTTAATGTTGCAGCTGGTAAAGGTGAATCTGATGTAATCATTGTATATACTGCTCGCTTAACATGTAATCATGATAAGATGATATACATTTTGCACCAGTAACATCATTCATTACATGTTACATGTTAGACGCTTTTATCCAAAGCGACTCACATACTCAATACTGTGGGCAATCAGCACACGAGCAATTTGGGGTGAAGTGTCTCAACGACATGCTGACTGCAGTGGGGTTTGAACCTGTGACCCCCTGATCCGAACACCAACGCACAACCCACTGCACCTCACGTCTTAAACTCATTTTATAATGACGTGCAGTTAAAAGATGTGATTGTATGGAGTGGGAGTATAAAGTAACTGAAGTAAAGAAGTATATAAATAAATATACACAGAGCAGACCTGAAACTCCAGCATACATTGATCTTCATTTCTTTTGTCAGGTGAAACTTATTTTCACAGAATGATGGTTTTCATTTTCCAGATCATGGGTCAATTTCCACAGGAAGAATAAGAACGTGGAGAGTAATACAGCTGATCATAACCCGTGCAGTATAAAAGGGCACTGTGAGTTCAACTGGAAGTCTACAGCGAAGAGAAAAAGACCAGAGGATACTTTGGCACGCTGATATGAGAAAGTGGAATATATGGCCCATATTACTCCATAATATCTGTATATGTAAGACTGTAGCAGCGCCACCTGCTGGAAGAGAAAGCCATGGAAATATTGTGATCGTCATCTTATGCTGTTTGCAGAATAGCAGACATTTGAGCTGAATAAACAACAGAGAAACACACACTTTGAATACACTGCTATGGAAATAAGTACGTTTTTAATAACAGTCATGAGAGGGACTGTTTTGACTCTTAAATGTATTATTTCTGTGGTCATCAAGTCTTTCTACAGACCAGACACACCAGAAACAGGCTGCTGCTGCCCCCTAGAGGCACGAAGCAGTCACATTATAAATACATCAGATCGAGCTGGAATTCAACATTCCAAAAATGAAAACAGCTGATACAAAATATGCAAACAAGAGCACTTGGTATGAGCTTGTGTCTCCACTAAGAAAAGGTTATTGCTCTGTGTGGTCTGATGTCAGTTTACTTGCAGGATTTGATACTAAAAAGCATCTGTACAAAAAGAGACGGTGACAGGAACCTTTGTTACCTTCTTTATAAAGCTGCACTGCCTAATAATTTTGATCTAAAAACAAATTCCTGCAAATGATCAAAAAACTCCTTGAAATTCTTCATTATGCAACTTCTATAAAACCCCAGCAGAAATTGTGACTTGGAAGAAGTAGAAATATGTGTCGAAAAAATGTCGAAAATAGTGAAAATAGTTTCTCCAGATTGAAGGGGATGTTTTTAAATGTGTCAGCTCAAAACCCAATATATACTGTGTAAGATTGAAAACAGAGAAAAGCAGGACTTCTTCATCTTTGAGGCTGAAAACACAACTTAAAAGATGAATGGATATTCTAGTTTTGCTGCCGATAAGATAAAATAACACTTATCTTATCCTGAAGAAAATTGTTGTGCCAGAGTTACAAAAATACAATAAACACAGCAGCATGATGAAAGTGCAGTAACAAGAGCAATTCAATATCTACAGGAAACACAGACGGTCACATATTTAATGGAATATTACCAGTATTTAGTAGTGCAAAAAAATAACGTACAAAATGGACGACTACTATATCTACTACTAAAAGATAGACTCAACGTTCGCAGCTCTATTTTACAGGTTGAAGTGCGAAGAGAGCTGTAGAAGATAAGGGGGGAAAAGGAACCATGAGCATTTCCCAAATTCCCACTTGTAACATGAAAACATGGAAAGCATCAGAAAATACTCTTAAAGTCTCCACCACCCGCAGAAGGACGACCACGTGCACTCTCCTCTCTGTGGCACCACTAACAGGCTTGAGGGAGACCAGTCACTTCACGGAGCTTAAACCGTTCCAGTTTAAAAGTGAACACAAAAAATGAAAATGAGATATTTAAAAAACTCAAGTCACCCGTTTACTCTGCACTTCAAAAAGACAAAGAAACAGTCAATATCTAATAAAGATCTTTATTTCAGATTTTAAATAGATTTACAAACCATAAGAAAAAAAGAAAATATAAACAAGAAAAAAAAACACATCAAGTGATCGTCAAATATCCACATGTGCATATCAAGGTAGATTGTAAACAGTCCTTTGAAGCCGAACAGCGAGACTCCCCGGGGTTCACTCAGCGCCTGAAAGGATGTTTGTTTGTTTAGTTGTTGTTTTTGTTTCTCGTTTCCTGAGGCTCTTGTAGTTTTCTGTAATTATCTGCTGGGTTTGTTTTATCCCTCAGTGATGCCGACACAGAGCTCAGAGAACCGGGGGGCGAGTGGGGAGGAAAGACGATGAAATACCAGCAGTTTGACAACAAATAATGAAATCCCATTCACCCTGAAACCGAACACAAAAAGGGGGGGGGGGGGGGGGGGGGGGTCATTCATAGGTTGTGTAACGAACATCAGTCATTATCATTATTACAAGTGTTCATAACTAATGTATACGTCTGTGTGGTGGCCATTAATGCTGCTATATTTAAGTAGAACTCATTCTTTCATGAACAATCCTGTTTGTTTAACAATCAGGTCAATTTCCGTAGCACTTAATACATGTGAGAAAGAAAACAATTTGAAAAAAAAAAGATTACATCAAAACAGTAAAATAAGCAAACCCCCCCCCCCCTTCAAAAGAACAAAAAGCAAAAAAGACACCCCTCAGCCCATTCACAATGCAACAGCTTTAGATAAAATGGAGTTTCGAACCCCACCCTGATCTAAAACCTCAAAGGTGTCACAAACATCTACTGAAGAACCGTTCTCCAACTCATGCTCAACCCTTCCCCCATTTGTCCTCAGCACACCGTATAAGCAGTCGGCCAATAATCTAACGGAAACAGCGAGAATGTAAGTGTTAAAAATACTGCTGGGTGTTAACGTGTGTCTGAGTGTCCCGTTAGGAGAGGCCTCTGACAGTGTGGACTGGAAACACTCGCCCCCCCCGCCCCCCATCACTCACACTGCTACCTGATCTCCTCTGAGGTCACAGGGTTCATTCACTCAGGTGAGTCAAGATGGCTGCAGCCCAGTGGAGCGTTTCAGAGGAAGGGGGGGAGGGAAAAGAGCCTCAGAGCCACCACTAGGGGGCGAGCTCTGATGAAGGTCAGTGCTCTGGAGAGTTAGAATAACAGACGTGAAGATGGATAAATCAAACGTCCACTTCTGAACCGAGACAGTCGGAAGCTCCACAGGTTGGAACACTCCCCATCAGCTTTCCTGCCACGTTTAAAGCACTGCATATTAAGTAGCACTGACTGCATAGGTTGTTTTAAAAAATACAGTACATTGGATTTCAGCAGCTAGATGTTTCTGAATGCTTCCAGGCCACTAGTAGCTCGTGCTTGTGTGATGAAGGCTGCGTGACAGGACGTTTCTGATCTACATTCCCGTCTTTGTAGCTCGGCTGTTGGATTTTACACCTTTCTCTCACGCCTCGGACAAATCAGACGGATGCTGCTATTAATAAATCCCATTGAGAGTCACAGTATCCCCACCTGAGGCCTTGTGAGCTCGAATATCCCCCTCTGCTGTCTTTCCAACAAGTCTTTCAGATCTGTGGTATCAGGGAGCGAGGGGAAGGCACGAGGGAGTGTGAACAGCTTTTCTTATGGATCACTTTTGGAGCAGCACAAGCCCTGGGGCTCAAAAGAAAAAGAACAAGAAGAGGCAGGGCTTCAAACAGCCCGCTAACAGGAGGTCACACACATGGCTCAGAAGTGACTCAGCTTTTCAAAACACACACATATGTGCATTCTTTCTAAATTAGCCTCCCGCTCACTTGACTCGGATCTGATCGGACCTGTGACGTTACATTCCAGCTCGCTGATGTCGAGAAAAGGCGTGAGCTCTCCACATTCTCTGAGAGGAAACGTGGCCATCTTTGTTCAAAGCTGGACAAAGGAGCAGGTCTCGGAGTAAAGAGGCAGGACGTTTAAACAGGTATCAGTGCAGACAAAGAGAAGCTGTTACTGTACGTTGTGCTGCTGTGTATGTGTAACCTCTACTCAAAAAACTAAATGAAAACATGTGAGAAACAAACAAAAACAACTGCAGCTTGTTTTGATGCATCAGGTTTTAGTGTGCATACTGTGAGAGCACGAGACAGAAGTGAGGACGACGAGGGAGGGAATTAAAGTTCAGTCCATGACGAGAGAGGGGGGTGTGTGTGTGTGTGTGTGTGTGTGTGTGTAGTGGGGGAGGGGCATAAAGGGGAAGTTGTCAAGAGTCCTCGGTGCCTGAGTCGTCGTAGCAACAGTCCTCGTTGTCCTCCTCGTCGTCGTCGTCCAGCTCCTCGTCGTCGTAGTAGTCGTCGTACAGCAGGTTGGAGCCGTCGTCTGTGGGCGGGACCAGCGTGCGGACGCAGTACTCGTCAAGCGTGATCGGGACTTTGACTCCGTCCCGCTCTGCTTCCGCCTTGGTCCCCACCACCTGCTTCCTGTTTGGGGGGGGGGGGGGGGGGGGGAAACAGAAAGCGTCAGAACTGGAAGCTTTGAGTCGCCAAGCTAAATATCTGTTCTGACTTTGGTTCAAAAAGATATCTTCATGACCCTTTGATTCTTTCTAACACTCGATTATTTCAACAACCTTCAAACACTCCCGACCTGATGGGGGAATGATTTCTCTTTTAATGTTTTTATTTATTTTATATTTGTCCTTACTGATCTGTTTTTACTTGCCATTTTATTTACTTATAATTATTAATAAAAAAATGTTGTCACTGTTTTTATTTTTGATATCTGAACTAGGAATCAATGTTTTATTTTTGTATTAAACTATTCAAGGTGGGGGGGGGGGGGGGGGGGGGGGAGATGGTTTGTTCTAAAGAAAATTGAAAATGGATGAAGATCATTGTCTTGATTGTGACACTCTCAATGTCGAGTACGCTTGCTTGGTAGCACATGTCTCCTGAGTCACTTGCTTCAGAAGCGAGGCAAGAATACTTCCTGGCATTCGGAAAACGAAGAGTGGAACAGGCGAGCAGGTGTGCGTCATATGAGAAGCCCCGCCTTACATTTGCCGCCACATATTTGGGGAAATTGGTCCGTGCGCAAAGCATTGTGGGGATTTTAAGACCGCGGAGTCTACACATGTGCTGCCTCGAAACTTCTCCAAACGAAGTACGCCGGGCTCGGTAGAATTCCAAGTATGCTGGATATTGGAACAGTACTTCGGCGGGACTCGATGACGCAGTGTGCTTGAAATAGTGGCTCTGGAGCAGCTTTACTCGACATTGAGAAACACCCCCTGTATGAGTGTGCCTGTTCTTCAATAAAACCCTTTGGATTGAACTAACGTTATTCTGGCTGCTGCTTCACTCAGAAATAGCACAATAATCACTGTTTGTGCTATACTGAACATACATTACATGTAATACCTTTTCAACACATGTATATGTCCACTCAAAATGTACCATGGACGTGAGTTTATTTGTTTTTATTTTTAATTACGTGTGCTTGTCTCTATACTTAATTTGGTAATTGTATTTCCTCTGGCACCTTTGCTGTAAATGTCCCTGCTATAGGACTTATACAGGATTTCAGATTCTGTCCCGATCCGATTCCGATCATTTGATTTTGATAATCTGCCGATACCGATTTTTCCCGATCCGATCTTTATGCAATGCATTAAGAAAGAAAAACGGCTGGTCATCCAACGCGATGAATTCAGCTCTCTTGGCTGTTATTTTTTGGCCTTTTCACTGTTCTGGGGCAGTTTGTCTTTCCTTTTCAAAGTCTCTGAAAGTGTCGGTTGTTTCAGTGCCGTTACCCGAGTGGCCGCTGTGTACTCGTCGTGTTGTTGTTGGTGTTTGTTTCTCAGGTGGCGTGTTAGATTGGTCGTGTTGAACGTAGCTCTGTTCTTTCCACCTCCGCCTTGCAAACATTGCACCTTCGCTTACAATTTTATAATACTTCCAAACTCCTGACATTTTCTCTGTCCTGACTCCCGAGTCACCGGCTGAACGTAGCCTCTCGTTAGCTTACTGCTACTATTAGACACTGCGCCCACTCTGTTGCCAGATTTGAGAGAAATAACCAGGTCTGAAAGCAAGCCCAACAGAAGCAACACATCCATGATGTTGTGTCATTTTAAACCAAAACTAAGTCCTCAGGATGACTTTAAGACGTGAACATGGTCATTTTTGTTTTGTAACATTAAATAAAATACAAATATTTTATATAAAAGATTTTTTTTCTCCCGGCTCCGATCCCCGATCCCCCGATCGCGCAATCGGCTCCGATCCCCGATCACGTGATCGGATCGGGACATCTCTAAATGTAACTGCTGTGTGTAATATGAGCTATGTGTTGCCTGGTGGAAATAGTCATCTATACAAGTTTAACTAGGACAAGGACTTGTGTTTTATGTATGAATTACTATTCATTCGTAGTATAATTGTGTTATTAACCATGAGGAATGCTTTGATTGTTAATATTATGTTTGACTTATTGATGGTTGAAAGGATTATTGTTTTTGTTTTACTTCCATACTTGATTGTTAACGAGAAGTTATTTTGTTTGTTTATCTTTGTATTCCTTTATGTGAGAAAGAACAATGCACATTAATCAACATAGCTATTAAGTAATCCTCATTCTCCGGCAGTAAAAGAAAACTTACAAGAGCAAAATGTGTAAATGTCTTTTTTCCTCCTACCTGATGATCTCGATGTATTCTCTGTCCTTGCCCTTGCTGTCCCTCCACTTGCGGTACATGACGGAGGCGTCCACGTTGGCGGGGGAGAAGGTGTTGGGCTCGTTGAGGAGAGAGATGACGCTGAGCAGGATGGTTCTGGAAGAAGGATTCAAATACAGGAGAGCAATTAGGGAGGAGGACAGAGGAAGATGGAGGTAAGACGAGACAAGAGGCATTGAGAAAGCAGGACAGAGAAGTGAGCAGAGACAGAGAGGACATATGGGAGCGAAGGAGAGGGGGAGGGGGAGAGGGGGAGGGACAGACGAGCAGCCGGCTCAACCCCAGAACATCCACCCGTCTCTGCTGGAGATGAACAACCTCCTGGAACAACTCCAATTTCTAACAGGCTGAACTGATCATCCTTAAACACTGAAATTCAAAATGGTATGTTCATTATTTATCAAAGACTTGGCTGACATTTTGTTCTACAACGGCACAAAGTAATAGGCCTTGTTTTAAAGGTCTCCTATTGTACTGTTTTCATCAATATATTACAGGTCTCAGATATATACAAAACATGTCTCTGAAGTGTTTGGCTCCAAACACCAAACAGATCATTGCAGCATTACCCATAATCCCCTCTGTTTCAGCCCTGTTTCAAAAGAGCTGATTCTCTGTCTGTTACTTTAGAGCAGGGGTGGGGAACCTTTTTCCTCTCTGGGGCCATTTCAATTTTTTCAACATCCTCCGAGGGCCGTACAAATGTTTGACCTCCGCTTAAAAATACTAAAATCACAGCCCATTCATTTGTTCTTTCTTTCATGGTGTGCAAAGAAAAAGCAACCTCTTAATCCAGATATCTCACCATGACCCCCATTTCCAATTCATCATGTCATTTAAGACATTTAAGACATACAGATGGCTTATTTACAATTTACATTTTAGATTTCGTTCTAATACATCCTAACCGGACATTTAAGACATACCAAGTCTACAGATATACAGTTAGTAACAGAGTCTAAAATGCGAGTATATACATAGATGGGGGGGGGGGAAGCTGTCCATTGAACGACAGGTTGAGATTTGTACCATTACCGGGGCCAGTTTTGCAATGCTCTCCCCCGAAGGTGCTCTTTAAGAGAGGTTTTGAAGGTAAGTATAGTTTTACTTTCCTTTACAGTTGTGGGAAGAGCGTTCCACCTTGATGTGGCATAATTGCGAAACGTGTATTCCCCCTTTTTTGTGCCAAATCTGGGTTTCACATGATTTGTGGAGCTCCCTCTGGTGTTATGATCATGGTATTCCTTGACCTTTGGGAAGAATTTTGACATGTACATGGGTACCATAGAGGTGTAGTGGATCTTGTAGACCAGGCCCATTGCAAGTAGCTGTACTCTGTCGTCTACTCTAAGCCATTCTAGGTTGTCAAAGTGGGCAGAGGTGAGGTGGGTTCTAGATGAAAGGTCAAGCAGTAGTCTGACCAGTTTATTTTGCGATGTTTGAAGTTTTATTTTTAGCGCCTTGGAGGTGCTATGATACCATGACGTGCAAGCATAGTCATAGTACCCTTGAATGAGTGCTCCTGCCAGAGTTTTCAGGGTGTTCTTGTTTACCAGAGAGGAGATCCGGTATAGGAATCTAGTTCTTTGATTGACTTTTTTTATTACATTGGATGCCATTTTGTCACAGGAGAGGTTTGCCTCAAGAATAGATCCTAGGTATGTAATTTCCTTCTTACCTGTGACAATAATGTCGCCCACTGCAACTGAGAAGTCGTCGGATTTGCTGAGATTATGTTTCGAACCGAAGAGAATGGACTCTGTTTTACCCAGGTGTAATGATCATTTATGTGCACGGTTGTGGCATGACCACCCAAACAGAAAGATATTGGACACAAGATGTGTGCAAATGTATTTAGTTTCCTATCCATGTGAACATGATTTAAGGGGGGGGGGGGGGGGGGGCCTAACCCAAGTTAAAAGCATCAATCTGGTGCACTTTGAGAGCAACATTAGGAGCTCTATGGATACATCTCTCATCACCCAGATGAAACACAACTGGAAGCAGATTTTCTTTTTCTTTATGGATATTTTACAAATCACTCCCCTTTCAAACTGTATTCCTGTTTATCAATAACAACTTTTTTTTACTGTCATATAGTATTTTATACCTGTTTACTTTATTCTCTTATGTCATTTTCAGACAGGTTTTTATAGAAATGGATCAGGACAAAAAGAGAGACAATCTTTTCTCCTGAAACGTTCAGAATGTCTTTCCACAGAGGGGACACATGTTGATGTAGAAGAGACATGAAGAAGAGGGGACACATGTTGATGTAGAAGAGACATGAAGAAGAGGGGACACATGTTGATGTAGAAGAGACATGAAGAAGAGGGGACACATGTTGATGTAGAAGAGACATGAAGAAGAGGGGGCACATGTTGATGTAGAAGAGACATGAAGAAGAGGGGACACATGTTGACGTAGAAGAGACATGAAGAAGAGGGGACACATGTTGATGAAGAAGAGACATGAAGAAGAGGGGACACATGTTGATGAAGAAGAGACATGGAGAAGAGGGGACACATGTTGATGTAAAAGAGACATGAAGAAGAGGGGACACATGTTGATGTAGAAGAGACATGAAGAAGAGGGGACACATGTTGACGTAGAAGAGACATGAAGAAGAGGGGACACATGTTGATGAAGAAGAGACATGAAGAAGAGGGGACACATGTTGATGAAGAAGAGACATGGAGAAGAGGGGACACATGTTGATGAAGAAGAGACATGGAGAAGAGGGGACACATGTTGATGTAAAAGAGACATGAAGAAGAGGGGACACATGTTGATGTAAAAGAGACATGAAGAAGAGGGGGCACATGTTGATGTAAAAGAGACATGAAGAAGAGGGGACACATGTTGATGTAAAAGAGACATGAAGAAGAGGGGGCACATGTTGATGTAGAAGAGACATGAAGAAGAGGGGACACATGTTGATGTAGGAGAGACATGGAGAAGAGGGGACACATGTTGATGTAAAAGAGACATGAAGAAGAGGGGACACATGTTGATGAAGAAGAGACATGAAGAAGAGGGGACACATGTTGATGTAGAAGAGACATGAAGAAGAGGGGACACATGTTGATGTAAAAGAGACATGGAGAAGAGGGGACACATGTTGATGTAAAAGAGACATGAAGAAGAGGGGACACATGTTGATGTAAAAGAGACATGAAGAAGAGGGGACACATGTTGATGTAAAAGAGACATGAAGAAGAGGGGACACATGTTGATGTAAAAGAGACATGGAGAAGAGGGGACACATGTTGATGTAAAAGAGACATGAAGAAGAGGGGACACATGTTGATGTAAAAGAGACATGAAGAAGAGGGGACACATGTTGATGTAAAAGAGACATGAAGAAGAGGGGACACATGTTGATGTAAGAAGAGACATGAAGAAGAGGGGACACATGTTGATGTAGAAGAGACATGAAGAAGAGGGGACACATGTTGATGTAGAAGAGACATGAAGAAGAGGGGACACATGTTGATGTAGAAGAGACATGAAGAAGAGGGGACACATGTTGATGTAGAAAGAGACATGAAGAAGAGGGGACACATGTTGATGTAGAAGAGACATGAAGAAGAGGGGGCACATGTTGATGTAGAAGAGACATGAAGAAGAGGGGACACATGTTGATGTAGAAGAGACATGAAGAAGTGGATTTTGCATAATAGGTTATCTTTAAAGGTTTTTTCTTGATTAGGGACTTGATTTGCAGGCGTTATAAATTGCGTGCTTAATTACTTCTCACTTTGGTAACGCTCACTTCCAGCAATCAGTAAAAATGGGCAACTAGCTGCATCACTCGCTGCACGATGTGTTAAGCTTTTAGTCTGTATTGATCGGTGGACAACGAGCAGCAGGGAAAATAAGGACAGCAGAAGAGGAAGGGTATTTAAGCGACATCGATTTTGTCTGTGCAGATGGGTAAAGGGACAGAAGTAGAGTGACCCTGGTAACTATTTATTTAATCCTTGTTCTTTAAGATATAATCTAGGCTTGATGAATGGACGTTTAGTACCTGACGTTCTGCGTGGGGTTCCACCTCTCTGAAGGCAGCTCTCCGCTCTGAGGGTCGTCCACAGGGGGGTGCAGGATGGAGATACAAACATCTCCGTTCTACAGAGACGGGAGAAAACACAACCATGTTCAGAAAATAGTTATTACCACCTTACATGTATTAGGCACCATAAGGAATCGGATAAATGCCACAACACACTCTGGGCACGTTTCTTAACAGCATGTTTATATCACATGGAAAAAAGTCAGTGAGAAAAATGTGGAAATTGTTTTTATTAAATGTCTTCCATATTATTATCATTTTTGTATTTCATGCATGTGTGAACTAATATGATTTTTTCATCATGAGTCATTGATATCAAATACTTGAATTGTACTCCCTGTTATTATTAGACAGCACTTTTCTTGCAGTATTATATTTTTTTATAAACTGAAATATATAGCAAAACATTACTTACACAAAGTATGTATGATAAGAACACATTTATTTTTTCTGCAGACATTTATCCAGCAAATCTATTTTTTAAGTTATACCAAAATAAAGCATTTTAAAAATGCAGTTGTGGGCACAAATGGGTTTAAAGATAGTCATCCACAGCCAAACATTTAAAATCCTTAAAAAGGAAAATAGAGTTCAACCAGGATCCCGTGTTTTCATATACTAATATAAAACCCAAAACAAATGATAATAGATCCCTAGTGTATTCATAGGGCCTATAAGGAGTGTGTGTAGGTTTTGTCCAATGAGTAATACTGTTCACAATTACCTCATAAATGTTGGGGTGCCACATTTTGGTGAGGAAGCGAAAGGCAGGTGGAGAGTACGGGTAGTCGACGGGGAACTTGATTCGAGCCTGAGGGCGAGAGAAGACACATATTAGCAACATGAGGCAGGCAGTTTAAAACACAGCAGACAAGTCAGGACTGCTTCCCTCCAAACGCTCGCTGCGTGGGAGAAGCATTTCCCACCGGCTGACAGACGCGCCTCTGAATCAAGCTTGTAAACACTGTGAATAACGTCTTCTGAAACATGAATATTATCTGTTGTGTTAGTCATGCGATGTTGAACGTCATTTTTCTTGTTCATACTTTTTATTTATTTAACATAGAACAGGTCAGGAGTGGACTGGGACGATTTCAGGTGTAGAATCTCTGAGATTAAATGTCAAAAAGTATATTTATGTGGATTTAAAAACATGGTCCCCAGAAGCTGATCCACACTCCCTCTAGCAGGATTGTTGAGATATTGAACTTGTGCTTCATAAAGAAAGTGTCCAGGTTTCCAGCAGGAATCTAAAGCACAAGTTAGTGGCGGTGGACTGGGCTTCCTGTACATTTAGCCGTATTGCTTCTTCACTTAGTTAGTTTCCATTTCCCAGGGCTGCCTTTCGTAATGATTTGAGTTGTTATTCTCTGAGATGAATCCTGTGAAGTTTGATGTTATTGACACTGCTGCACGGAGCCTCACCCCATGCAGCATCAGAAGAACATTCCACAACCCCTCTGTTATGTGGGCATTAGTAAATGATTGACGAGGTCTAAAGATCCAACTTGACTTAAATGCAGAGGTGGAAGAAGTACTCAGATTATTTACTTAAGTTAAAGTAGCAATACTATACACACACACACACACACACACACACACACACACACACACACACACACACACACACACACACACACACACACACACACACCACACACACCACACACACACACAACACACACACACACACACACACACACACACACACACACACACACACACACACACCACACCACACACACACACACACACACACACACACACACACACACACACACACACACACACACACACACACACTATAAATAGCAGCTGAAGAGTCATGGCAAACCTGATGGAGGTGGCTGGGCAAGGAGGAGCTAATGACGGTGTAATGTAATATGGTGTGGAGGCAGGGTGGAGGCTTCAGTGCATTCAGCTGCCGAGTGTGGGGGGGGGGGGTTGGTTGGTATAGAGACATTGTGGGAGTTTGTCCTCTCCAGCTGTCACTGCAACCCAAGACAATCCACTGCTCAAACCCGTGTTCTGCTATATGTCCTAACGCTGACACCACCCCCCCCACACACACTGTATAAATGCTCCTGTGTGTGATGGACCCCTCCTCCCGTTACAGAAGAAGTGCAATGGGTGGGACGGGGGACACGCACACACCGACTACACTGATTACACACACACGCACGTCACTCACTGCATGAAACCTTCTGCTTATCCCCCCCCACCACCGCCACATACATACACACACACTTGCTCACACTTGCTGATTCGGCACGGTCAGCTGGTCCTCGCCACAGTGAGCCGACGAGCGGGAGGTGGAGAGTGAGAGGGATTTCACTTTGTATAAAAGGGGTTGTGCTCCATATAATAACTGTGCTTAACATTAAGGTCTTATCCCGCTTTGCATGCAATGTGGCATTAAAACCAGGCTGGATGTAACACTCAGAGCAAACTGTTCAGTGGCTTCTGCATTTCAAGGTCTGTAAAGGGAGTCAGTATGTCCTTTTTTTGGCCCTGAAATGCTAAATAAACGACTCCCATGATATAAAACCAGAGCAGGGAAGAAACACTGACCCAGGCCTGAGAGAATGACGCTTGTAGGGGAAAACAAACTAAATCCCTGGGTCTGCCTGACCCAGCCAGAAAGCTGGCAGCCCTTCAGAGTGCAAGCCGATGCTGTACACATTACAGGCTGGAAACAGTGCAACCCATAGCAGCCAGCAGGGGGGGTGGGGGGGGGGGGGGGGTGGAGAGACAAGGGCCAGGGAACAACGGTGAGAGCTTAGTTTGTCTTCCAGAACAATATTTCCACATCATGATGAAATCTGTCCACTGGCTTGGAAGATAATCTGCGTCATGTCCAACAAACCGTGGTGATTCAGATGAACTTAAATTGATGCAATTCAAAAGGGGATGGAGATGGTGTTACATACATAGAGGGCATAAGGGTAAATGTAAATCCCAGTAGAAATGGTGGTTTATGTGTTTGTCTTCCAAGTTTGTCTTCCAAGAAAATAGCGTGTGAATGAAATGCTCTTCAGCAGCTGGAAAGTCCCAGACATCAAAAAACTATTATTTTAGCAAAGCACCGTTTATCAATCCAGTGTCATTATTCAACTCTAAAGGATATCTTCGATACAAGACACGATTGAAAATCAAGGATATGACACCAAAAACATCTCTTTGGTGACCCACAGGAAAATGTTTCCAAATACTTAGTCGCTTTATGAATTAGGCCCCTAAATTGTCCCATGTCTAATGAGGCATCAACACTTGCCATAACACAGCTCCATTCATCACAATCCTGCCAGTCTGAATGCAAGCTACAGGAAGGTGGGGATATGCATTAAGGATAAGCATTGATCCCTTTGAGAGGGGAGGAGCACGGTTTCACAATGCAGCTTACCAGGAGCCGTTAAAAACCGTATTCCTTTTAACGCAATGTCACCAACTGTATACCACGCAATGGATACAGTAAACATTAGAGCTCCATGATAGTATGAAACACAATTCAGTCAGTAGGCAGGTGAAGAACTGACAAATGTGTGTTCCTTGTGGTTATAGTAGGAACAACTACAGATTTAAAACCATTGAAAGCAAAAGGTCTGTGAGGTCTATCCAGGCAAAGGATATGTTACAACAAGCCATATTGGAGACCCCAAAACGTCCTTTATTGTATATTTATATATATATATATTATATATATAAAAAACAAGATAGATTTGTTCAAAATGAAAATGCAAATAAACCTTTGGCGCACTGTCAAGGCCAGGGGTCGGGATGGGCCCCACGACAGATCTAACTCGGGACGTTGCACGTTATGACCATGATCAATATAGTTGATAAATGACTATACATTTATGTGTAAACAAATATCTGTTGGCCAGATGAGACACAGCACTATATTGTCAACACCTGTCATTACACCAAAAGTTGCCTCATTTGTGATCCATCACAAAAGAAGATGGTGGCTCAAACTGACGATACAAGCCAAAAACCCCTGTAGTTTCACAAAAGGTCTTTTGTAACCGCAAACGCTGTTAATGTGTGGACAGAAAGGTACAACAACAAAAAAGGCATAGAAAAAGCTACTTTGTGACAATATTTGACGTGAGGACTAGGCCTCCCGGGGTCAGGAATGAAACGGTCGACCTGCCCACCCAGGTGACACCAAACCCTGGATAGACGGAGGGATGGAGGTGGATGATTGATTGGCTTTGCTCTGCAGCAGTAAGTAGACAGAAGAAAAGAAACACAAAGAACGATACAGGAGGGTCTTAAAAGGCCAGTATCATCTTTCTCTTTCTAATTCCAAAAGATCATTTTCGTGCTTTGAATAGATCTATTCCTGTTACAGTACTTTTACCAAACAACTCCCACTCTCTTCATTCTCAGTGTCTCCACAACACAAGCTCAAAATGCTCTCTGCCCACAAAGTGCCATCTTCAATTCACTTGCTTCAAGATGCTACAGCTGACTTGCATGTCATGCCTCATAATTGCATTAAGACAAGAATTAACAGCATCCACAGTCAGGAGGTGAGCAACCCTGAAGAGCTCATTTGAAGTGAAGCCAGTTTCCTGCCAAGCGTGCACAAAACAAAAGTCTCCTAGATCTCTTTTGGATTGGGTGCTAAAACGCTGCCTTGAAGAGAGAACAGGAACAAGAGTGAACGTGCCCACCGTGTGGAAAGTGACAGCAAGGAGAAGTAAACCAGGTCAATGCAAAGACCCTGAACAGAACAAATCGTTCAGTTCTCCCTGAGCAGCTCTTTGCCTTCCCTACAGACCTTATCCTCACACACCGAAGTCCTTGTGTACAGCAAATTCCATACACTAACACACACATGGAGGTCCCAGAGATTATCCTGTTGGCACCCAGCGGTCCCCCACCTCATTAACTCAGAAGGTTACAGTGTATGAGAAGGAAAGGATCAAATACTGAAGCTTCATTTCCTGGTTTAGACTTAACCCTCATAGCAACAGTAGTCTGGTCTTTTGCATTGCAAATGAAAGGCATCATACTATCACGTTATGAACGATTTGAGTCGCGTCTATATTCATTCACAATTAGAAAGTATGAAATTGGGGGCTCTGTGGTGCGAAACAAGTTGTTACACCGCAACATTTGACAAAGCACACCAAGCCTTTTTAACCATAAAAGTCGTCATATTCGAAGGCGAGTATTACGCATTGGGCGTGTTGTTTATTGGTCACGTCCATGGTGTGCAAAGGCCCTAGGGGTCTAACGATAATTCCTGTATCTTTATTTAAATGTTCTCTACCAGCAAACTGGACAGGTTTGTTCAAGTCACTCATTTGAGGATATCCCCGATTATCGTGGATAATGGGAATTCACCATGATCAAGTGTTTTTATTGCCATCCTGGGTAAATCCTATATCGACCAATCCCTAAACGCAACAAATGGGACTTTCAAACAAACAACGTATACAGCTTTGTGTTAAAGGGTACTTCCCTGGTGGCCCCTTACAGGAAGAGGAAAAGCACACGTGGGCTTCAGGGGACGGTTATAACTGTCTAATGGGGGCTCACGCTCACCTCTATTCACAGCAGGCTCTGCATTCAAAAGAGGCACCACTCTGGAGGAATGGCCCGCCTGCACTTGTATGGCAGGTTCTGTATTCCCACTGCTTTGCCCTGCTCTCGTTTCTCTGTGACACAGCCAGAGGGGGAAACATGAGTCCGACAGCTCGGCCCTCGCCCCTCCACCGCTACTAACATGGCGCTGGGACACGTAACAAAGCATCCACCCAGCCTCAACAGAACCGAGTGTTGACTGATTGTCTGGAAAAC